GATGTGTATCACATTGGGCACACTGAGAACTCTTGCCTAGGATGTGTATCACATTGGGCACACTGAGAATCTTGCGTAGGGTGTGTGTCACACGTTGACCTCAGCACACTGATCCCTGGAAGACAGATGGCTTTAAGAGTAGTCAGTGGGTGAAATTTCAAGCCTTGGTGATGTGTTTATATTTGCATAAATTTAATAATTTAGACAAGTGACTAATATTTCTCACATGTTTGCATAAGACCTCAGAGCTACATTTGTAAGGTAAATGGTTGTTTTAATTGCCTCTGTTTTTTTAATTTACAGCAAAAGATGATGGAAGCATTGCCGTTGCCCTTGGTTATACAGCACATTTGGTCTCCATGATTTCCTTTTTCCTACAAGTACCCCTCAGATATCCCATAATTCATAAGGGGTCCAGATCCACCATCAAAGATAATATCAATGACAAGCTGACGGAAAAGGAGCGAGAGTAAGTGTCTTTCTTGTTTGTTTGGGGTATAAGCTGCTTGGAAACGTGGTTGAAATGGTGAGTACATTGGAAATGAGAAGTGTCCTCTAATTGAGGACAGTTTCTATATAACAAAAGTTACCAGCACTCCTCGCAGCATGGCGAGACTGTCCAAAACAAGCCAACTGTGGCAGGCAGTATGACTGCGTGGGAAAGTGCGTGACTAATGTGTGTTGTGGTTTTGGTTTGAGCCTTATAGCCTTGCAAATAAGTTTTAAATAACTTACAGGTAAAAGAAGAAACCATAAGGAAAGTATAATGAGAATGAGAATATAGCTTTTCAAAGTTGGCGGAATAGAGCTATATCTGGCTCAAGGAAATTTATATCCTAAGTACCTGCACCAGAAAAGGTATTTGAAAGTAAATTATCTAAGTCTCAAGTGAACAACTGGAGAACAGTTAGCAAAAGCCCAGGAGACAACATGGAAGGTGCACATCGGCTGTGTTGCTGTGCGGTGGGGTAACAGAACAGTGCCCAGGACCCTGGAAGGATGGATTTAGAAAGAAGAGAGGAGATGGAATCACTTTTTGGGGCATGGGCAAAAGAGGAACACCACAAATACGTATACAGGCAACTTTAAACTAATACATTAGTAATTCCAGTCAAATGACTTAATTTCTAGAAGGATGCTACTTTCCAACATAAATAATTGGCATTTAGAAAGTACCAGAGCAAATCTGCTCTGTGAACTGTAATCCCAGCAGCCCCCGTGCCTGGGAGGTGGGGTCAGGGCAAGAAAGGGGAGAACGGGGGGGGGGGGGGGGGGGAGCAGAAGAAGAGTAGGGCACCAGTGGCCAGGCAGGGGGTGGGAGGAGGATCCTACCTGGGTGATCTTTTATTCGGACTGCACATTAAAGTCATTTGAGAGTCTAAAAAACTGAGCTTTTCCCCCCCCCCCCCCCCGATTCCCGACCTTGTCCCGAAGACCCTGACTCTATTGGAAGCACTCACATTTGAGTGGTGTTTAGAGCTTCAGTGGGTGTTTTGACATGGAATGGGATTGAGAACCACCATCCTAGATTAAGAAGATCTTGTTTCCGTGGTATGAAAAGTTAGACCTTGCTAAAAGCAGTTTAACATCACTGTCTTTGGAGCTGAAGTGGGCTGGGCAGAAAGATGATAGCTTAGCAGTGTGGCCAGCCCTCGGCCTCTGCATGTTCCATCCATAAATGTGAGTCCCACACCCATACACCCATGGGGTACAGCAGCGTGTGCCCCGAACTGCTAAGCCATCTCTCCAGCCCCGTCGTAACAGCTGTTAGACGCCAATAGTGTTGCTCTGACTGTTTATGTGCAGGTGTTGAGTACCCATTCTGTTCTTTTGTGCAGCAGTGGCGTTACGGTGGCACGTGGTTGTCGTCATATAGTAGGGGGCTTAGAAGCAACTGTATGCACATACCATGCCGTTTACATAAGGGACTTGAGACTCACGGTTTCTGGCAACCATGAAGGGGTGGGCAGCAGTCTCCCTCAGATAGTAAGGGATGATCATATGTCGGGAAGAACAATGACTCTCAGCTAAGGAGCGCTTGTCCTTTTCCAGTGCCTTTTCCAATGTTGTGATTGACTTGAGCCCAAGTGTGCTTTGCAGTTTAGAAAGCATGAGAAACCGAATGAGAGCCTGCAATGTATATATCTGACAAAGGGAGCAGGACGTTGTTTTCTTTTCTTAGATACTTTTTAAAAATCAATTTGAAATTCATGTAACACAAAAATCCAAGATTTTAAGTGTTCAGTGTAATTTTAGTACATTTTCACCATTGTGCACCTAGCACCTCTATACTTTTGAGACTCCAAATAAAATCCTGTGCCCATTAAACAGTTTTGCCTCACCCCTGGCCATTCCCAGTCCCTGGCAGCCGCCAATCTGTTCCTGTCGCTGTGGATTCTCCTGTTCTGGATATTTTATATAAGCGGACCATACAACATGTGACCTTTTTCTTCCTGGCTTCTTTCAGTTAGCATAATGTCTTCAATATGTGTCCATGCTGAAGCTCAGTCGTACTTCATCCATTTTATGATCCAGTAATTTTCTGTCAAGTGTGTATAGAACATCTTGTTTCTTCATTCCCCTCTTGATGGACATCTGGGTTATTTCTACCCGTGGCTCTTGTGAATAGTGTCGCCATGGATATCTACTCATAGTTGAATGTGCATTTTCATTTCTTCACCTCCGAGGGGTCGCTGGGTCATGCAGTAAGCCTGTTTATCTCTAAGAGGAACACCAAAGGGTTGTCCATGGCGGCCGTGCCATTCTGTGTTTCCAGATGGGAAGAGCACCCTTGTGGTTTTCATTGTTTGTTCTTATGCTTAGTGACCTTGTGTTTATCTTCTCCTTATCTGCTCATTTTCTCATTAGGTTGTTGTTTTTGTTGTTAAATTGTAAAGCTTTGTGTATTCTGGATATTAGACCCTTATCACATAAGTGATTTTTAAACATTTTCTCTGATTCTATGAGTTGTTACAGTTTAAAGTAAAAAATTAAAGCCAATGTATGTGCCCTGGCATATGGTTAGAGCGGGGGGCTTCCAGTGAGCCCCACGGTCAGGTTCCATGTGCTGAGGGATCACTAAAGAGCCAGTTACACACTTGTACAGCCAGGGTTCACCTCCGTCTTCAGTGTGCTTGTGTGCAGGTGTGCACATGTGCTGGGAGATTTATAAACAAGATATTTCTGTCTTGTGGCTCCGGAGGCTGGGAAGCCCAGGCTCACGGTCCTGACATGTTCTGTGTCTCTGAGGCTAAGTCCATCCCTCTTACTGCACCCTCCAGACAGGAGCAAGTCATGTTCACGTGTAGGGGGAGGGATGGAAGCCATGTAAAGAAACCAGATTCCTCCTGTCGAGGCCCAAAGCTTTACTCTATTCGTGAGAACAGAGTCCTTATGACCCCATCACCCTTTAAGAAGAGGCTCCACCTCCCCACACTGTTGAATTGGGGTTACATTTCTGGAATAGTCACACCTCAACGTTCTGACTGTTCACTTTTTCCCCCCTGAATGCAACCCCTAGCATGGTGTGCAGTGTCCTCTTCCTTGGTGTTGTGAGCACACGTGTCTGATAACCTGTTCTTAGGCCCATCAGTCCGGGATGCGATGTTGCATATTTAACCATCGCTATAATGCTAGGGTGGGAATTTCCATCAGTGAGCAAAGAGGAAACAATTAAAACCATTGCTTCGCAGCCCTCTTAGTTCCCTTGGTGCACAGCAGGCTTTTGGCCTGGATGAAGTTCAGCTTTCTGTTGTCCCAGCTACTTTTCATGTCAAATCTGAGACCCATCATTCGGTCCAGGATCATAAAGGTTTATCCTCTCTTTTTCTGTGCTAGTATTGTAATTTTAATTCTTTTAGGTAGCTGTTTCTTCCATTTTGGAATTTTTTTTTTAATTTATAGTGTGTTGAAAAGCTGTTATTTCTCCCTTGAATGGCCTTGGCATCCTTGTTGCAAAAACAATCAACTGGCCATGGATTGTTTCTAAACCCTTATTTCTATTCCAGTTGTCTACACATCTGTGTTTATGCTGGGACCATAATAATGTTTGCAGTTTTGAGGGGAAAGAACTCCAAATGTGTTCCTTTGCAATACTGTTTTGGCTATTTGGAGTCCTTTGCAGTTCCCCAGGAATTGGAGTATCTGACTTGCCAACTCCAAAGAAAGAAGCAGCTTTGATTTGGAAGGGGATTGTATAGAACCCATGGGTCAGAGCAGGATGGCCATGTTATTGATAAGTATTGGCAATTAATAATAGTAAGAGCTTGCCTTTACCCAGGTCCTTTTTAGTTTCTCTTGTCAATGGTTTATATTTTCCAATACACAGGTCTTGCATGCCCTTTGCTAAATATATTTCAGTATATTTTACTGTTTTCCTCGTTTTTCTCGCAGATTGTTTGGGTTTTCTTTATATCGGTCCCTGTCTGTGAACAGAAAAAGTCTGAATTCCTCCCAACTTGGATGCTTTTTGTTTTGTTCTTCTTACCTAATTGTTCCTGCCAGAGCTTCAACAGAGCAGTGAGAGACAGCGGGAAAGGCATCTGTCTGTCCATCCGAGGAGCCCCATGCTTCTTCAGGAGTGTCCCCAGCCAAGCCCAGGAAGTTGTTTTCCCAGTGTCCCGTGAAGGGACATCCTATGAAGTGGGCTGGCCAAGGGGGCTGCATGGCTTCTGCTCTCATTGCGCTGTGCAGCTCTCGGGCTGCATGGCACTGGCTGCGTCCCTGCGGGAATCCCTTTGAGCATGCTCTTAGATTCAGCTCGCTGAACTCTGTGCACAGTTTTTACACCTGTCCTTGTGAGCCTCTCATTTTCTGTTTGTTAATGTGCATCTGGCTTTCAAATCAGAGTAACCTGACCTAAAATGAGGAAGGAATTGATTCCCACTCAAGCTTTTGGAAAGTTTGAAGATTTCTGTTAATCCTGTCTTAAATATTTGTTTGAATTCGCCAGTGAAGCTGTCTGGTCTTGGGCTTTTATTTCAGAGAGGTTTCTAAGTCTCTGAGAAGTTTCTTCTTACTGTGCACCTGTTCCAGTTCTCTGCAGTTACCCTGGCATTCGCCTGTGTGTCTAGCTGTACCCACATCACCTCGGCTGTCCGCCTGATTTCTTGGTGCAATTGGCTGTGTGTCCAGGCTGTACCCACATCACCTCGACTGTCCATCTTATGTTTTGGTGCAGTTGGCTGTGTGTCCAGGCTGTACCCACATCACCTCGGCTGTCCGCCTGATGTCTTGGTGCACTCGGCTGTGTGTCTAGGATGTACCCACATCACCTTGGCTGTCCGCCTGATGTCCTGGTGCACTCGACTGCGTGTCTAGGATGTACCCACATCATTGTGGCTGTCTGCCTGATTCCTTGGTGCAGTTGACTGCTCATACTGTTTTCGTCATCATTTTACTTCTGTGAGGTCTGTGTTGTTGCCTCTAGTTTTATATCTGATTTTAGTTATTTATCATAGTTTAAAGGTT